GATGGGTCGGCGTATAACCGGTGTTAGCGGCCTTACACCCGGTCTACTCGGCATAGATAAAAAACTGGCAACGTTCCCCATTCCTTACTCGTTTTCCTCACCTTTATAAGTCTTCAAATTGGTTCGGGAGGTATTAATTAACTCCTTAAGCCCCCATCAACTTTCGATATTAATGTAATTATTGATAAAAAATACTTAAAACTGAAAAAAAACGAAAGAAATGCGTTAATTTTGAAGAAAAAGCTTCAGATTTTATTTTCCTTTGTCTGGTCTTTCTGTGAAATCTGACACTGATGAGTCATTGTTTACACAGCTGGATTTCCCGAGACATTCTCAGAAGTCTCGGGAGGCGATGGGTTTATAGTAGGGTGAATACTAGCTGGCCGTATATTTTTAAAAAGTTAAAATTTTTATTGCGATTTCCGACCCCCGACTTAATTAAACTTATATATAATAAAATCTATTAATTAAAAAAATTAAAAAACGATCGCAGGTCGTTTTTGACATCAGAAACTAGCTTTAAATAACTTTACCGAAAGAAAATTTGCGCACTACAACTTTAGAACGATGAATGATATTTGATATCAAACTCCCATTAAAAAACAAATTACAAGCAATTAAGCGTGAATCGTGCGTCATTAAAAGTAAATTGAAATCGCGATAAAATTTTTTCGCGCGGGAAAAAAATTTTGAAAAAATTTGGAGACTTAAAAAACATTTCGAAAATAAAAAAAAAAACAAAAACTTTTTATGGGATCCAAACGCCCGAGTTTTATTAACGCTATGTAACTTGCCCGAGATATCTCGGGCTCGGGGCTTAGGACACATTTTCTGTTAGCGAACCGTTTGTTAAATATTTCGAATATCACCACTGTTGGAATCCATATCGAAAATAAAAAAAATGCAAAATTAATCATGTTCAATGATATTAAAACAAACAATAACGCTACTACATTATTGCATTTCAACAATACAAGAACTGACGGCCAACAAAACAAGAACTGACGGAAAAATGGTAAGTGTTTTATTTATTTGCATATTATACTGTATTTCATTTATCGAATACACGAAAGTCTTGCTTTTCTATATGTACTGTACAATGTTTACAGAGCTATAATTAACTGTAGCACGTGTACACAACGTCTTTCAAAGACATTAGATGAGACAAGAAAACAATTATTTTATTTTGGTGTGTGCTAAGCGACGCGTGCGCACCTCAAAGTTTTTTTTTCACTTAAGTACGAAAAATAATTAAAGCGTATGTGGGTGGCGGTTTTCGAAGGCAGCAAAGACAAGTGTTTTACAAAGGCTAACCGTTTATTTCGGACGATTATGCTTACATATTTTCTTTGTGGCAAAGGTCCTGAGCAGTTAGAAGTTTCGTTGTTCGGAGTTGGTCTTTCGTCGTCGTCGGGGGGCCCCTTTGACAGTGTAGTGAGAAAGTAGTATAAAGTCTCTGACGGCATTGCACAAAAGGAGAACGGAAGTACAAAAATAAGCAGAGATATCAGGACACAACAGAAGTCTATCGGAGGTCTAAGTCGAAGTCTTTTGTGCAAGTTCAGTGGAAGTCCCGGTGAAAGCCCTGTTGTCCTTGAATTAGGCTTTTATAGAATTTTTGCAATCGGCTTCCTGCCAATTGGTTAGGCCTTACATCACCGTTTTCCAATTGGTCAGCCACCTGTCTTTAGATGTAAATGGAGCCTTGTAAAGTTCGGGGGAAAAGGTCGGCTGGAGATGGTTTATCCGACACCATCTTTTCGAATCTGATCGCGTTTAATTGTTAATTATGACACCTTCGCTCATCTAGACATCTTTTTATCTAGTTTCGTTTTGCTTTCTAAACTGAGTCTTAACTTTAATACTTTAAATTTTCTTCTTTTAAATCTAAAATTTAGGTTTTTCGTCAACTTTTAATGAGCGTCGACGTCAAAGTCCGATGTCGCCGATTCGACACTTATATAGTTTGTTTTGACGGGATAACTTTACAAAACTTTACAAATTTTTACATGGAGCCATTTCCAGGGCTTCACAGGGCTCCCTACCAAAGGAAAATGTCGCTTGGTGCCAGCGACATTTTCTCTGGCAGCCTTGGAAGCTGACAGTTCGCTTCCGTCTTGAAACATAAGATTACGATAACAATCGTTTTTCGTTCTTGTTTTTTTTCTCGCGCGTGTTTGGTTTTGCGTTACATCGAAATGTGCTCGATCGTCACATCATGTAAGCGATACACCTGATCTACAAATTGATACTTCGCGTAACATTTCTTGAGTTTCGTCAAGATACGGATTTCTTTTGAAAACATTTTTTTCCCTAATTTTGTAGACTGAGCAAGTTATATCAATTTTAAAAATTTTTCATTACGGGTTCGTACGGGTTCTGTGGTTTGTGTTGAATCTGTCCTTTCCGATTGGATCGAGTGAAAAATGACCTCACCCCAGGGGTCAACTACTGCTGATGGGGGTGAGTCTGCGTCACTTCCTAAATTTGAGTTTGAATTTTCTATTCCTGCGTTATCGTCCTCCTCGAGGGAAGGCTTAAATTCTAAACGAGCTATTGCAGGCTTCATTCGATTGGCGTGTGTATGCAACTTCTTTCCAGTTTGTATGTGCTGAACGATGAAATCTACCGGGCTCGTCTCAGCAACTATTCGATAGGGTCCTTGCCATCTGGGAGCTAACTTTCGCTTCAATCCAGAGGGGACTACTTCTTCCTTTACAAAGATTCGATCTCCTATTGAAAATTTGTAAGGTTTGTTTTTATGCTGGTGATATAGCTTTCTGTCTATCGCGGCTTTTTCTGCGTGTTCCTGCGCTATTTGGTGTGCCGAATTCAATCTAACCCTGAGTTCGCTCGCAAAATTTTCGCTTATGTCATAACTGGGTCTATTTGGTTCCGTGACTATGTCAAACGGATATGTAGGATCACGTCCGTACATTAAATAAAATGGGGTTTCATTTGTGCTCGAATGCACGGTTGTATTATAAGCAAAAAGCGCATAAGGGATCATTTCATCCCAATTACGTTGGTCCTTATCAACATAGTGTGTTAAAATATCTATGAGCGTTTTGTTCAGCCGTTCTACCATTCCATTACATTGAGGGTGATATGCAGTTGTAAGGAGTCTTTCTATATGCAGCAAATCGCATACTTCTTTCATTACTTTAGAAACAAAATTGGATCCTCTGTGAGATAGCAGAAATTCTTATATTAGAAATACTCTTTAATAATAACATTTCGCGAATTACGCAACAATTGTTGTTCTTAGCTACTTGAGAAAGTCTCCCGTTACATTTTCTCGAAAGCAACATGACGCTTTCTCGTGAACTATTAATTACTAAAAACAATAACAGTGTGCAAATTGCCTCCGCAAATAAACCTAGGTTTAACCTAGCTCTGGCCGATTGGGAAAGTATGCTATGTTTTTGTTAGTAATATTTGTTCGTTAAGTCGGATATATTGAGCCAGCAAGGATGTACACGGGAGACGGACGAAACTTCTACACGTCTTTACCCCACGAAGACTACAGACGCACAACACATGTTACAGGGGGACACACACATGTTACATAAGGGACACACGTNATCAAATTGGATGATGATTATATATTGTATATATATGCAATAGATGAAGTTACCAGAAATTATATTGAAGGTCCACCATGTGACAAACTAACCCAGACAGCTTTGAAGATTCCTTGGATTTTTACAGACATGACTGATATTGATTGTTGTCCAACAGAGCCCAATGTAGATTATTTTACTGTAAGCATAAAACTTTTTTAATTATCATAAATTAAAAGCGTTTTNTCCAGGACTCCACATTATGCACTAAAAGGTAATAATACATATTTTTGTGTGCTACAACTTTGTAATTGACAATGTTGCCCTATTTTCATTATAGACTGAATTACAATGGCCCTCCCAGATGGAAGGGCTGAAGGGACAGAAATTCATGCCATCATTTAGCACATGCTTGACACAATATATATCAGCAAAAGGTCTACAGTGGTTTTCCTATTAGTATTTTGAAATAATTGATTGGAGACAGACTTTTGTTACCACACTGTATATTTATTTAGAGAATATTAATCGCATCTAATTTTTCAGGATAAATGCTTCTGCATCAACCATTCCTGCTGTTAACACCAATTGTTATCCTACTCTGGACAATATTCTGTTTGGAACATCGTTCCAAACAGAATCTTCAGAATCAGGGTTTTGAACAGATATCTTCAGAGATTCTGTTTGGAACATCATTCCAAATATCTGAAGATATCTGTTCAAAACCCTGATGAAGGCTTATTAATCAAGCCAAAAATATTAGTTATATCAAAGTTTAAGTTGCTAGAAAAATATATAAGATATTTTTTGTCTCTCTAATTACTGACTAGTTCCAGTTTATATCAGTATTAAAGAAATCAAAAGAAACAAAGATTTTGAAGAATTTTGTAGTTGATGATTTTGCAACTGTTTCAATTAATGACAGATGCACTGGACAACATAAATTGAATAGATGGGAGAATATTTTGAGATATATTAATTGTTTTATTTGTTCTAAAGAGTTTTTATTTTTACAATTAAAAATAAATTTTCTAAAATTTTTTTTCTTGCCAATGAAATTGTCCTTTGATCCAAATTAAAAACTTAAAATTTTAAATTTTGATAACAAATATGAAATTTTACTGACTTAATTTTTTTCTTTTGTTTTTATTAAGTAATATTGAATTAAACCTACTCAAAGTATTTTAAAATAAATTTTAAGATTAATTGGAAAATGGTTTATATGTAGGAAACTTTACAATCTTAACATTTTTATCTGGTTTATCAAATAGTAATTAAATTTCTTTACAATTTTTTTCTAATTATTATTTTATCAAATTGGATGATGATTATATATTGTATATATATGCAATAGATGAAGTTACCAGAAATTATATTGAAGGTCCACCATGTGACAAACTAACCCAGACAGCTTTGAAGATTCCTTGGATTTTTACAGACATGACTGATATTGATTGTTGTCCAACAGAGCCCAATGTAGATTATTTTACTGTAAGCATAAAACTTTTTTAATTATTTTAATTTTTAAAATATATTATTTGAATAATTATCTTGTGTAAATTACATTAGTTTTTCTAAGTTGTTTCCAGAATTTTGTCTTTTGTGAAAATTTAAAAGCTTTTTTTGTATTATGACTTTTATACTTACTACTGTCAAGGTATATATTTGTAATAATATTTGGCTAAATTTAAAGAAAACTAGATAAATATACTGTATTTTGTACATATCTTGAAATTTTTATTTTAAGAAAATTATTTATACACAAATATTGAGGAGGTACTGATGGACTGAGAATGATATGAAGAAGATGAATCAAACTTTAACCAGATAATTATAATTATAACAGATTTCTTATTAAGCAAAGTAAAACATGTTAAAAAAATAGTAATGGATGAATGAAGAAATATAGAATTAATCAACCAAAGAAAGAGAAAATGATTGACAACTTCCAAATTATTCTAATCAGTTGGATGCAAATCTTATTTATAATATTTATTATAATATTATAATAGCAGTTTATATCAATATTTGATATAAACTAATATTTTATATATAAACTAATATTTATTATAATATTTTAATAGCAGTTTATATCAATAGATTATCTATCTTATATAATGACTAGCTAGTTAATTGAAATTATAGTTTATGCTAGAAATTATAATATAAAATGTGATTTCTACTGAAATTTTCTGTTCATAATGCTAAAATTTTAGTTATTTAGAGACTAAGTTTTAATTTTTTAGAGAACATATTGTTGCAAGCAAACATATGATTTGAGTAAAATTTAAACTTTATAAATTCTATTATCATTTGTTTATTCTGTAATTGGACTAATCTTATGCATCTGTTGGTTATAAATATGCTCATGAAATTCAAATTTATTTTATATATCAACAATATGATTTACCATATTTAATGAATCTTAATTTAAGTAATCACTGAGTTCTGTATTATTTTTAATATGAAAATACTTATTTTTAAGAGTGGCAGAGTACAAGAATCACTGCCAGATTTGGAAGTAGCATTTCCTCCTATTCCTAATGATAAAAAATTAAAAGTATTTAGTAGTTACAAAGTAATCACTTATAATTTGAATCATCCACGATTCGAAATAACTTCTAATGAAGAAGAGGCTGATATACTCTGGTATGATTATCACTTTAAAGAGTATAGGTAAGTTTCATAATATGAAAAAATTTGCTATATTAAAAGTAAAAATATAAAATATTTTATGTAAATTATAGACAGCTTAGCCAAATGCATCCTCATAAATTTGTGAATCAATTTCCTTTTGAACACATTCTAACAGTAAAGGATTTATTTGCATCAGTATGTCAGAGAGCTGCCGACAATGTTATAAATGCAGAAACACTCGAATCTTCTCCTCAGTGGCTTGCAACAACATATAATTTGAAGACAGAACTTCCAAAATTTGTGTCTTATTATCAACAAAGAGCAAAACGGTATTTATATTTTTCTATCCATAAATTAAATTTAATGTCATCATCTAAACAAGTTTTCTCAGTGGTTTAGATAACTATTGGATTTGCAAGCCTTGGAATTTAGCAAGAGGTTTGGACATGCACATTACAGATAATTTAAATTATATTCTACGACTACCATCTACTGGTCCTAAGGTACTTTAAATTTTATTTTTGGATTTAAATATCTATTAATTACATCTTAAACTTAGAGTTTCAAATGTTTTTATTTTAAATGATAAAACCGTATATTTTATTGACATTTTATAAAAAAAAACAATATTACATGAATAATAATGTTTTGATTTTGTGTTTGATGTTAATTAAGCTATTGTTAGAAGCCAGGGATAAAGGTCATTACATGAGGGTTACTAGGGATATAGGAGGGCTATTAGCTATGAATCATTATGTAGATTCATCGATAAGAGATTCAATCTTATATTAATAAGAACTAACTTCCATTTTAACAAATATAAATACAGGTAGCCCTTGGTTTACGCCGGCCGATTCACAATAACGCCGCTGCACAATTTGCGATTTTGCTGTGTAATTCCCCGATTTTCCCTATGCCAGACTGATTTTCGTTTCAGTGTTGACGTATTTACCGAGCCGTGACATTGTACATTCGTTAAAACAAAGATTTTTATTGAATATATTTATTTTTTCTGTTTAATATTATTGGGTATGTATACATTTGCATTAAATTAATATTAAAATACTAAACGTTTAGGTACCCACGAGTCAAGTTATCAAACTTAATAGTCCAATAAATGGCGTCCGAATCCATAGCGCCATTGAATTTATCCCGTATCAGTTCGTTCAGGAAAACACCTTACGACGCAGTAGCACTTCCGGCGATCACAAACTATCGTTAGTGAGACAAATCTACTTCTCGTTGGCCAGACGATATCTATCTCTCCTTAATTTTCCCGCTCAAACTGACCTTACATATGCGCTACGGCGACCGGTGGTCGACCAATCAGTGTCTCCGCTCGTCCGTAGCTCTACGTCGGGTTAACGTATCCTTTCAACTATGGAAAGTTTGACGGATGAACTTTGTGAGTTAGACAATGATTGGGAGCGAAGTGCAAATGTAAAAAGGAGCATCATCGCATCCATTCGACCATATTCCGAAATTCTCAATGAAAGAAAACAAAAATGTAAACAATTAAAGATGGATACTTTTTCCGAAAAATGTAAGAGATCCGAAACTAAAATTTTTAATAAAAACATTTAACTTTATTTTATGATAAAATACATTTTAAAAATTAAATTTATTTGTACTTTGTATTATATTGTATTAATAAACAAAATTATTTGGGTATTTTTCACTTATGTGGAACCTAACCCTATACCTCAGTGTAAATATGGGTTCGTTTTACGCCGATTCGATTTGCGCCGGCTTTTGTAGGAACGGAACTGCGGCGTAAACTGAGGGCTACTTGTATATTTAATATACTAATCAGATCAAGAATACAAGATGGATATAATGAACATAATACATTTAGATAGGTTAATAATCTCTATTATCAAAATTTATGCTGAGAGAGAGAGAGTTTACAATTGAGAGTTCAGGATTGATAAAAAGAGATTTTTTGGGTGAAAATTTAAATTTTGAATTTTAAAACTTTCTATAATTTTGTTTCGGCTTGCGGCAATTGTTCTATGTTGGGGAAAAGAGTACTAGTTATTAGTGTAACAGCTGCACCAGTATCTATGGTTAATCTTACCTTTTTATTTTCGATTTCACAAATCATCGTGCACGGGGGTAAATCTTTACCTTATGATTCATTAATTCCCACTAATTGTGTTTGAACTGGACCTTCAGATGGTCGTTCTATCTCGTGATTTTGTTCCCTAAAATTTATTGAAGTAACTCTATCTATTTCTTGCGATTGATTATTCTCTATTGGTTTATTTTCTGGGGCAGGCAAAGCTAATAATCTACGAGGGGCTATGTTGTTTGGTGTGCTCTCTATGCCGGAGCTGTTTCCAAACCAACTTTGTCCGTAACGCGGGGAATAAAGGGGTAAAGGTTCACCTTGTCTGTCGTTTCTGTATTCGACAGGCCTAAATTGCATTGGGAAAAAAGGTGTAGGTCGAAATTGGTGGTTCTGAATGGGGTATAACGGATTCCATGCAAGATCCAACCATTCTGGGGAGTTTCTAGACGTTCTCCATTCCTGATATGGTGGAGTGACGGTTCTTCCGAACCATTCAGGTGGCGATGGCACGTACCTTACACTTTTGCATGAATTTAAGTTTGGCATGCAAAATGTTGGCGTTCTCCCTCTGTTTCCTCTCCACGGGAGATTCGGATTTCGTTCTTTATACGAGTTATAAAAGGGGTTATGGCAAGGATATCGCGCACGAGGTTGTCCTTGTGTAAAAGTAGGCGGTCGCGGGGAAAATTGTTGCGGCTGGTTTCGCTGTAAGCTCTGGGAAAATTGCTGATTTTGCATCCCATTGTTTGTTCTATTAGTTTCTTGGGTTTGATTTGTTCGCGATGGTTCTCTCTTCGGGAGTTATTTGTTGACTTGGGCGTTGGCTGTTGATCTAATCTCTTTCCTATCGACTCTAATTGTTTAGAAAGTTGGGCTATTGTTGTGTCTAGGGCCGTTTCTCTAAGTGTGTTCGTCTCTTCCACCTGTGTGTTGTGACTCTCTGTTGCATCGTTGACGCTAGCAATTAAACTCCGCGATTTTCCACTAAGGGTGTGACTATGCAGACACGAATTTAGAGCGAGTGAGAGGTTGTGAGCGATTTAGTTTTCGCAAAGGAAAACCATGCACAGACGAGAAGCAAGAAATAACGCTGGCGAGAGCGAATTTCTGGTTCTCGCACATATCTGACAGGTTTTGATATTTATCGCGTCTCGTCTCTTCTTGCCACATATTCTCACTCACTCAGAAAATTCGCTTGCTCGCGTCTGCATAGTCGCACCCTAACTCCGCGAGGTCTGCTAAGGTGAATAATTCTGCGAAGGTCGGTGGATCCTGAGTCATCACCTGTTGCTTCAGCTTGTCAGTCAGGGCATGTAGAAATTGGACTCGCAAGTTTTCAAGTCCAATTCCCACTGTTGACAGCATTTGATAATTGCTTTTTCTTGTTTGTTTGCGCCTGTATGCTCTATCATTGTAGCACTGGCAAGGTTTTGCAATCTGACCACAAATTCTTGTGCCCTTTCTTCTCTCTTCTGCATGCACGCGTGAAACTTTTGCACCTTAATTGAGTAAGGCTCTTGGTCAAATTGAGTGATCATCAAGCGTTTGAATTGCTTAAAGTCTGTCACGCTTTTCATGTTTAAATCTTGCCACGCGAAGTCCCTAGCTATACCTGCAAGCTTGCACTTCGCAATACTCAAACGTTGTCTAGGCGTCCATCCCACTAGACTCGCGATCTCTTCCAGCGTGTTGAAAAAGTCTTTGACATGTCCCATTTCTCCCGAAAACGTTGGGATCATACCTCCAAAGGTGGAGATGGATGGAAGAGTTCCACTCCCATCACAAGGTTGCGCCGCACTTGTCTCTGCCTCCATTTTCCTTACCCACGTATTATGGCTAAAATGCCTTTGTTGGCATGCTTACAAAGTTCATGGGACTTAAAATAAATCCCTTACTTCTGACACCACTGTAAGAACGCTGATTGGGGGGAGATTTTTTCCCCTACTGTTGGGATGGTCTAAGGTCTATGCGTATGTGGGTGGCAGTTTTTAAAGGCAAGCAAAGACAAGTGTTTCACAGAGGTAAACCGTTTATTCCAGACGATAATGCTTACATAAAGTCTCTCATTGGCAAGGTCCTGTGTTGTTGGAAATTTTCGACATCGGTGCTGGTCTTGCGTCGTCGGAGTTTTCGGCGGCAATCTGGTCTAGCATTGTCAGGGCAACTGGACAGTGTTGAAAGAAAAAAGTTCAAAGTCTCTAACGTCGGTGCACAAAAAGAAGAATGGAGGTACAAAAATAAGCGGAGACGACACGAACACAACAGAAGTCTAGTGGAAGCTTAGTGGAAGTCTTGTTGTCCTTGAATTTGGCATTTTTATAGGTTTTTTTGCGATCAGCTTCTTTTTAATTGGATAGATCTTACATCATCGTTTCCTAGTTGGTCTTCCACCTGTCTCTAGGCATAAATGGAGCTTCGTAAAGTTCTTGGGAAAGGTCAGCTGGAGATGGTTTATCCGACACCATCTTTTCGACTCTGATCGCGTTTAATTGTTGACTACGACACCTATGCTCATTTTGACATTTTTTTCTAGTTTCGTTTTGCTTTCTAAACTGCATCTTAACTTTAATATTTTAAATTTTCTTCTTTTATATCTAAAATTATTATTATTATTATTATTATTAGTGATCTAAATAGATATGTTAGGATGGTAAGAAGTTTAATAATTTATATCTATGTAAATATGAATTATATATATAAAATATTAAATAGGTAAATGTATGATTTTTGTTTAATGATTCTGGTGAGAGTAAAATTATCAAGTTATATATATATAACAGAAAATCCACTTATAGGTACTGTTTAAATGTCTAGGAAATATATTTTAAAATACTATTGTAACTGAAGAAGAAATTTTTTTTTTGGTTTTTAACACAATATAGTGCAGTTAAATGATCATTTCATCCATTTTAGTTCTCAACTAAGAAGAGCAAATAAATGTATGATTTTTGTTTAATGATTCTGGTGAGAGTAAAATTATCAAGTTATATATATATAACAGAAAATCCACTTATAGGTACTGTTTAAATGTCTAGGAAATATATTTTAAAATACTATTGTAACTGAAGAAGAAATTTTTTTTTTGGTTTTTAACACAATATAGTGCAGTTAAATGATCATTTCATCCATTTTAGTTCTCAACTAAGAAGAGCAAATAAATGGATGAAATGATGCTTAGTGTTTGTTTAACTGCACTATATCATGCTTACGAAACAAAAACGTAGAATGACATAGTTTCAAATTGGTACAAATGAAAAACAATTCCTTAATATTAATAATTGGATTGAAATTTTCAAAAATTGTAACCTATAAATTTCTTCTGTCTATCCATCAGTAATCTTGAGAATGGAGTTAGATAGATGAAAGTACAGACCCGATATGGAAAGCTTAGGGGCAAGGAAGTCTCGATTAACTATATATGAACTTCCGGTTTGTACTGGAAATCACATTATTTCAATTCAAAAATTTTCTCCTGAATGGAGTTAGCTAGATGGTAGGCATGACTCCATTGCTAACAGGAAAAGTATGATGTACAGGGATAAGGCACTATTAAAGTTGAGAGTATTATGACAATGTCACAAGAAATAATTGCTCATTTAGAAATCATGCTTGCTGTTTGGAATGATGAGGGACTGAGTCTGAAATGCATTTCCAATATATTATTAAATATATATATATATATTTTATCACAACTACAAGTTGTGATAAGTCTGTACAATGGGCTACATCAAAAAGCATTAATTCAGACAAAAAGCAAGAATATTTACAATATATTTAATTAAATTATATTGTATAATTTGGTGTTATGAAAAACAGTTTAATCTTCAAAGAATGAATAAGTTACAGGATAAAAATAATTATAAATTCAAAAATTTTATACATTAAATCATATATGAAAATAAAATTTTTATGTATGTATAATTGTAAAATATAATTGTTATGAATTGTTATGAAAATTTAAAATGCATAATTGTTAAGAAAACAAAATTTACAAAATAAGCATTGTTGATTTTTTTGTAATTCTAAAATGAATCAATAATGTGGTAAAAATTACAGTTCTGTGTAAAATGAGTTGTAAGATGACAATCCTTCATTATATTTTTAACAATATGCTGAATCATCTTATGATTTGAATCTCCTAAAATTATTTTAGGATAGATTAGTCAAATAAAATTGATATATAAATTTTATTTAGAATGAATTTACTTGACCAATTTATACTCTAAGCAGATGTCAAACATACTCAAAGAATGACGATATCGGCCAGAAAATCCATATCAATTTCCATATTAATCCATTAATGAAATTTTTGACTTACAAGTTAGATATGCAAAAGCATATTTTATCATAATAAATCAATTTAATTTCACTAACTTTAAAATTTTCTTTTTCTTCAGATAGCTTGTAAATACATATCAGATCCAGTTCTGTTTCCCCGTGATGACGTAGGCTTAGTCAAGTTTGATATTAGATATATCATTTTACTGCGAAGTACCCATCCTCTAAGATTGTATGCTTATAAGCATTTCTGGTTAAGATTTGCAAACAAGTAAGAAAATTTCTGTTTATATCCCTTATATACGTTAAGAGAGAATTAATTTGGCAAACTTTGTAATTCAATATAGACTATACTCTCTAGATAATTTTGATGATTATGAAAAACATTTTACGGTAATGAACTATAGGCCAACTGTACTCCAACAAGTAAGTATAAATAAAAGTATTATAAGGAAAAATTAAAGCTAAAATGAAAATTGTTTATTGGATAAAATTTTTTTAACCAGATGTATTGTGACAAATTCATCGAGAAATTTGAGTTGTATTATTCTCAATTCAAATGGTCAAAAATAGAAGTAAGTAGCAAAGATTATTCTCTTATAATGACAGTTTGTATGCTTCTGATTATTTGTAAAATATGTGCCTTTTCTAAATTTTTAAGTACATTTTCACTTATAATTCATGAAATAGTTTTGAATTTTATTTTCATAACTTTTAACACCATTAAATAATGGTATTAAACTGTGAGTAAAATATAACTTAAAATATTTGAATTTTAATATTAATTCTTTAAACATTCACTATTGCCAGATTTAATTAAAAACAGTTATAATATATTAAATATATTTGTATTTTAACCAACATATCAGGAAGAAATATTTGCTGCTCTAAAAGAAGTGTTTGAGTCAGCCACTTCCAGAACCCCTCCTCTGGGTTTAGCAGAGAGTCCTCAATCTAGAGCCATGTATGCTGTTGATCTGATGCTTGAATGGAACCAAAATGATGGTAATATTTCATGTTTTTAAACAGTTTAATCTTTTTCTGATGCATTTTATGTTATATTTCTGCATGTATAAACAAAATCTTAATGTATATAAAAATTGCAAGTATATTTTTATATACATTAGACAAATTACTAGAAATGTTGCAAAAGAAAAATAAATTTGGATCTGTTTTGATAGTTAAATGACATCATATAAATAGCACTATAGTAGTATTTTTTTCCAATAATAATAATTTTTATTAAAGTGGGTTAATAATTCAAGTGTGTGAAAATTTGAGAAAAACTTTCATATGTAAACTTTGTCTGTAAATGATTGAGATACACTTTTATTACAGTTATAACAAGTGCCATTTGAATGGCAAACTTTAAAAGTTTACATAACTGCTTGTTCTTAACTTCATTTTATACTCTAAAGTGTTCCTGGGATAATTTTCTATTCAGTTTATCAGTAATCCAGTAGAAGTAGCACAAAAATTTTTTTTACATAATCCAACAGAAATAAGTAACACTGAGTGATATTGGGAGACTGAAGAGGCCACTTTTCATTCTTCATTTCAATCCCAGCTCTCCCAATCCAATAATCTGTTAATGTAACATTTGAGAATTTGTGAACATTCTGGTTAAAATATATCTTTAATACAACACGAGGCTTGTCTTGTTGATTCTATAAGCTGCAGTATTAACCAACTCTGCAGCTTATGCAAGTAACTAATTACATCATAGTTCTTGTCAAAGAAAAATGTATTATGCATTTGGGTCTGTGATGTTTCAAAAATTTCTGATTTTGGCTTTCCAATGATATTGCTATAATTGATAAGATCAAAAAGAGAGATAATTTATTGATCCTTTATTTTTATTTTCCATATCCAAATTTCCTCTGATATACAGTATACAATAATTATAAGTTTTTCTTTCACTGAAATGTGTCTGCGTGTGTGTATGTATGTGTAAGGTACAGTTAATGCTAAAATAATCATTAATGAATTAAGATAAATATTTTTTCTTACATTAATAAAATGCAAAATAGAAATTTTATATCAGTTTCAGTTGCAGTATTCTGATCAAATATTCACAAATGTAGAAAGTTTATTTTAAAAATTTCTTTAAATACATTTAATATTAAAAATTTTAATAGATAAAATGTCAATGCATCCAGTCTTGTTGGAAATCAATTGGGCACCAGACTGCAACCGTGCATGCCAATACTATCCTCACTTTTTTGACGATGTGTTTTCGGTGCTGTTTCTGGACGACGCAGAAGACAGAAATGTTGTCTTACTATAAATTAGTTCGAATGCTTCAAATGCAAATTGATCTCCTAAGAGTATTAACTAATTTTGTAAAGATTTCCAAAATATTTTTGCAAAGATGCAAATTTATGAGAGGAGAGAATTGTACCTGAGAGTTTAAATTTTCTTATCAAATTAAATTTTGTGTGTGTGTTAGTTTTTTTAATAACTTCTTTCTATATACTGAAGTTTTATTTAACCCAGAATTTTTCATTTAAATGAAACATTATAATTTTTGTATGGTTAAGAGAATTTTTTTAAATTAAATTATTTTCAAGAATTTTTCCATTTTTGAAAAACTGCTTTAAATGTAAGACCATAAAAATTGGGTTATATAAGCATATTATTTTGTTGTAAAAATTTAGAAAAATTCTATCTTCTAAAATAAAAATATCCTGATATATTCATTGCATTTGTATCAATGTAAGCAATGACAGGTTATTAAATAATATATACAGTATAACTTTTATCCTGAAAATGTTAATAATGTAAATTAAATATTTTCTCCCAATAAATCATCTCCTTTTGTAAAATGTCTTTTCTTTCCTATATATTTTCACTTTCAAAAATCAAACCATTTTGGGAGATTTTTTTATGAAAAAGAGTTAAGCATAAAAATTATAGTAATGCACTCTTAACTCTGTATTTCCTTTCCAAAATACAATATAATAGACCCCCCTATAATGCGGATTTGTATATAGTGGCAAAAAAATTGCGACCATATTTGTATAAAGACGCTAAGAGAGACTTGTAAAATGCAGTAAAACGTCATTACCAACGCATGTCGTGACAGGATTGGTCGAATCTGGATCAATAGTGGACGAGCAGCCGAACTACTTACACCCTACAGAGAGTTTAGGCAGGTAAGTTGAGTTTACTATCATCTGTACAGTATATAAATTAGGTATTGTAAGTCTAATACAGTACTGTAATTTTATACATTTCTTGTGAAAAAAACATTTCTTATTCAACGGCCATAAAAATTATTTCTATTAATGATGTCTCCAAAGTTCAGCAAATTTTTCACAGAAAAATAACTTATTAAAAACATGCTTGCCATTTGGTGTGCTGCTCCGCGACGAAAACAAGCAATGGCGTCGTCGAATAGTGCACACTTGGTAAGTAATCCTACAGTTTTTTGTTTATGGCATAGTTTATGCGGATTATTCCCAAAAATTATGTGTGTTTTGGAAATGTTGAATCAAATTAGTCTAGAATCGATTAATTTTATGGAAGAAAACCTTTCAAACAGCCATAGTCCCTAAACTGCACACGTGCTGGGCTGTGATTGGATCATGTATTTAAGGATTCCTACAACACGAAATTCTTATAAAGTGGAACGTATCTACTGTGTTATAGGGGAGTCGACTGTATCTTGTGGATTTATGTTTAATCATTTTTTTCACACACAATGTATAATATATTTTAGACCCATCATTTTGAGTTTCTTAATTCTCTAAGAATTTAGTAAGTGTGGAAACTGAATATTTTTTAATGGCTTCATCATAAAATGATGATAAAAGCTCAAGATTTTGAAGCTAATTAATTATATTTGCTTATTTATTCCACTGTGAATTAAATACCAACTTAAGGTTAAAAGATTTTCTAATTTTCAGTTGTTAAATATTCTATTCAAAATATCCAGAAAAGAAATTTGTAAAATTTGTCAAGCATATTTATGTAGAATTAATGTTTTATTCAACATTAATTTTATCATCTTAATCTTGCATTTTATATTATGATTAAGTAAGTATTTGAAGATCATGTTATCTATATAATGCCAAGAAAGATCAGATTTAAGTTTTATTTTTCTTAAAAATTATTTGATTCAATACTTCGTGTAAAATTTGATGAAAATTGTGACAGAACTAACCAGATGCAATTAATTCTATTGAATTATATAGTTATTATCTAAGATATAGGACTATTTGCAAAATTTAAAATTTTTACCTCACTTAAAAATGATAAAATCATTTTGGATTAGATGAAAGTCTGCAATTAAAGATCATTTGATGGTAGATTCCAGATTATATAAGTGGATTCTTCCTATTCTAAGCAAAATGAGAAGAAATTGTGCCATGGGGTTTAATCAAATAAAGGATAGTGAGAACTTAGTGGAATTTGTCAGCTTATTAAACATTGGAATGAAGTTCCATAAACATTGAAGCATTTTTGAATAAAGATATTTAATATTGTTTTATAACCCAATTCTCACTTTTATTTGAATGTTCCTTAGTGTAGAAATATTTGAAAATACTTCATAAGAGTTAAGTACCAGAAGTATTGCACTTGAAAATTCAAACATTTGCCATAAATTTGTGTGCATAACCATGACAGTATATACCAGGCATGGCCCAACATGCAGGTCGTATGCAGCCTGCGATTAATCTTTTAATATTAGCTACTCAAGTCAGAATAGATAGGTGAAAATTCTAACGCCTAAAAAAAAAGTCAACAACTCTCTGTCCATTTAGAGTTAACCATCCATTACAAATCTCTTAAGAACAGCATAGAACATTGATAAAACATGATACATTTTTCACATTATCTATAATCTCTATGTACAATTTAATCTCTATGGGGTGACACCACAATGAGATCTCGCACCACCTCAAAATCTTCCTAGGGCAGCCTCTGGTTTGGCCCGTGAAAAACTTTTCTTTCCAATTCGGCCTAGGGGCAAAAACTGTTGGCCACCCCTGGTATATACCTTCAGAAAACTACTGGATGATCAATAAAACCAACCCCACCATATATCCCCTACACCTCCAGTGCAGTTTTTGTCATCACATCCTTCATTGTAGATTTAATTATAAAATAAATTATATAGAATACTTAGAGAACTCTCCTAAACTTAATATATGAAAGATAATTGTTTCATAAATAAAATAACTAACTACATATCAATATATAATTTAAAATAGCAGAAAAAATATAAATTACTTTGAAAAAGATTCTCAACCGGTATTAGTCTCATTATATAGCATTATATAGATAAGTGCTTTAGATTTTGGAATATTTATATATTTGCAATTGATTTGATTTCAATAAAAATCTCTAAATTACAAACATAAATTTTCAAAAAAGGATTGAAATTCCTCACAGTTATTTTGTTATTTTGCTTGACAAAACTTAAAGTAAGGATGAAGTCATTACAAGTTAAGTTTTTCTTCATTTTTTGTATTCTGTGCAGTAGAAACTACATTTTATTTTACAGGTTAAGAATTGTTTATCTAAAATCCCAAAAATCAAAATCATCCAAAATCTGAAAGTTCTTTAAGTGCTGACAAGTGATGCACCACAAATGGAAAATTCCACAAAATACTGTGAATGTTCCAGTGTTTTCCTCAGACCCCTTTTACTGATCATCCCATCTGGATGATAAAATTACTTTTCATAATTAAATAATTTGCATAAAATTGAAGTTTTAGCATCAATTAACACTTCTAAGCAAATATATGTCCCACAAATTACTTATTTATAATTAAAACTTTAATGAGAAATCATAATGTAGAGGGAAAATTGTCAGAAACTTGATTTTCAAGGTGCAAGTTCAACCACATTAGTGTTGAAAATAAATCTTCAACAGATAGCAAGTACATGAATTTAAAAGCTTTTTTTACATTTGGGAATTAAGAATTATTCCCAAATGTAAGAATCAAATTATTCATGACAGTTTAAAAAATAATTTTTTGAATTTAATTCTTAATTATTTTAAAAATTTCCAATATACTGAACTGAATGTCTTAAGAGAACAATGGGACTTCTCCAAAAAAATGTATTTTTTTCCAATATACATGCTTTTTACAGGAAAGAGTTCCTCTTTCCCCTGTAAAGTGACCTACACATACACCATAAGAACATGAATCCCTCCATGAACCAGAATACATCAAAATGCAACTTTGAATATTCCTACATACAAAAAGAAATGGACTACTACACGACAGGCCTGTCTCTTCTCTGATATGTTATTTTGGCTATTCCAATTGTCCATCTGTGTGCAATTTTTCTGTAAAAACAAAAGAGATTGAATAATTAATACAGTAGAGCATCGATTATCCGAACGCTGATCAACTGAAAGTATTCCAGTTGGACTGTGTCGTGCTGAATCGAATGTTTTTGATACTAGATTAACTTCTAAAGTATAATTTTTTGTTTGTACAAAATAAAGAAATAATTTTTAATGATACAATAGTCAGGATTATTATTATAAAAATTTTCGTTAAGCTTAACATTGACGAAAATTCAATGCAAAGCAACACACAACAGAGAAAAATTTAAACATGGGATATATTAATATAGTATATTAGTATATCCCAATAATAGTATATTAATAATGTATTTTTTCATACATAATTGGTTATCTGAAAAATTTTTCAAATCCCAGTTCTCAATTGATTCGGATAATTGACGCTCTACTATAATCAGAAACAAGCCAAATCAAACAAGCAATTATTTATTGTGACATTAAAAATTGCAGCCCAGAATTGTGACAATCAATCATATTTTTAATTTAATTTAATATATATGCTCTACACCTCAAATTAGTAGTGGCTTGCCTCTGTACATCATACTTTTCCTCTAAAAGCAGTTAATAGATGATAGGCACAACTATTGTTAAAGGAAAAGTTTTGAATTGAAATAGTATGACTTCTGGTTTGCATCAGAGATTCATATATAGTTAATCAGGGCCTCCTGCCCATAAGGCTTCCATCTCCGGTCTTGGATTTCATCTATCTAACTCTGTTCTTGAGATTAAGGAAAGATAGACAGACAGATAACATTGGGAATTTATAAGTCTGCAATTTGAAAAAATTGTAGACCTATAAATTTACTTCAAGGAAAGGCAAAACAAGTACCAGCTTGAATCTGTTAGTTGTTTGTCTACTCAGTTTCATCATTCATTGAAATACATACATAAAAAATTTTAAGGATGGACGATTATAATGAATAGAAAGAACTGTAGATAAATACAGACAAATATGGCAAGAACTGTATTACTCAACATGTAACACAGGATAATAAACAACTTGTAGGATTTTACAAATCAAAGATATAAAAATGAGTCCTTTGTGAAAAAGATACATATGGTAGTTGGACATAGATGAATAATGGATGGAAACTATTTACCAAATACCCAGGCAGAAACCACTCAGTATGGAATATGTTCACCTCAAACTGCAATGCAGTACTCAATGTCATGATAAGGTCTTCATTGACTGGATTAGTAACTTTTTTCTAGCTATCATCACTAGCAATTGTGTTCACCCTTAAGTTCTGGACCTGTGTAAACCTTCAATAGTTACTAGCAACTTGACTCCTCTACTACTCCAAGTGAAATACAACATACACAGACCTGTGCCAATGATGATGCAGCAACTTCTGAATGATGTTACATCATTTTCCCCATGATTGCAATAATTTTTATGACACCATAAGTTTGATCAACTGCAAACAATCAATGAAGGAAGTTGAGTAATATTTCAGAGAAGTATAGTACATTCAATAAGTAA